TCCATAGATGGACCGGTAGCCATGTTTGGCTCTGCCGCCATGGGGGGTATCCTGCTGGCATTGATAGAGGGCGCTGGAATCCTGCTTACTAGGTTTGCCTCTTCACAGTTTCCAACTGGTGAGTTATACTTTGGTGATTTTTTTTTTAAACTCAGTGAAAGAGACTGAAGAGTGTTTTATGTAACGAGCACCCATTGTGATAAATTACTGTACATAAAAGTCTACCTAACCACCAGAAGCCATCAGGCGTGAAAGAATACTTAGATGAAAGATGACATGACTGCGGCAAAGAAAAGAACACTGAATGTACTGCGACTTCACCTCTTGTTGCCCAGCACCTGATATGTTTATCTTTGTTGACTGTACTTTAGGAGTGTTAGTCAACCCCCAGCTTGCTCACATGCTTTGCCGAAAACAGTATTCAGTCACCATGCACACAGTAGCATGGATTATAAACATCAGGTCTAATATGTGTGATAAATCTCATCTGATTCTTCTGCAAATTCTCTAAATTTTACTGCTTGTGTTTGAATTGTGGGACAAAAAATATTAAATTATAAAATTTATTCTGAAACAGTGTTTATCAGTGATGAAACTACAGTTATGGCAAAATGCGAATATTTGAAGATTGAGTCAGCTTTCTGAAGAAACTGACTATATTTTAATTTGTGACTGTTTTTAAATAATTGGAAAAAAAAACCCACTCAGTCGTCATATGTCAGTGAGGACCTTTGGGAAGTCATTTTGATTCATCAGTTTGCTCTTTTAGACTTTTGGCACCGATCTCACTCTGAGTTTTATTTTTTCCTCCTTAGGACCTCAGTTTGCCGAGGAACCTGCCCCTGCTCCCATGCCCACCTCTCCCTTTGGAGACTACAGACAATATCAGTGAGAGGAAGTCCTCACCTCTTTACCCTCTAGGCCTTTTTTGAATTCCTTGCTGAAGTTAAAAAGAAGAAATGGCGGTGCAGAGTACCACACATCAAACAGTAGAAGTGCACCCAACTTTATGGACTGTCGAAGAAGTGAACGACAAAACACGTCACCATTTTCCTTCTTTCAGGAGCCATGTACACATCTACCTTTTGCCATTGTCAGGCTTGTCGTGTGCATCTGTTTCACCTAGCAGCGGTAAAAGACAGCTGAGAGTTGTTGTGAGGATGAGATGTGCTTTTCTATTTTGTTTACATACAGTATAAACTGCATGTATCTTGATAGAGAATCTGAGATGTTGAATCTATCAAAAATATGTCACACATGGAACATAATTAATTATATGTACATACAGTAAAGCTTTCACTTATGTTAATCTATATTTGCCTTTTTTGTCATGCTTGGGTTGGCCAGCAACACTTGGTTGGCCTTTTTTTTTTTTTTTAATTACTTGACTTTATTCAGAGTTATGAAGGCAAACATCTTACCACAGACACACAGATGCCATTCCTGGAATATATTAGTTTGTTTTACAGTGATTTATTTATTTTTCAATGGTAAGGAGTTGTGTCAGATTGTTCTATTTTATGTGATGGTGGTTTTTACATTCAGCACAAGTGAGAAAAAGACTGCTAATGACAAACTGAGGCAGACATTTATTATTAAATGGAGAACTCAAGCAAGGGATTGATGTATTCTGTATTAAATCTGAATGACAGATTGTACTCTGGTACATTAAAGAAATAAGTTGTAAAGTATGTATTTTTGGAGCTTTATGAATACATTTATGGACTGTAGATTACAAGCTAGAGCAGGATTTTGCTTCTCCACTAGAGGGAACTCCTTGCAAAACAAAACAAACAAAAAAACACTTTTGCCCTATTTGCCTGCCCAGCTTGGTGCAGCTGACTCTTTAAAGATGTATTCACAAAGGACACATAAGGAAGCATTTTCCTCTCACATTCTTGCATGTGCGTGTCACGCACCAGTTATCTCTTCTAGAGCCAGTGCTGCAAATTTACAGGTGGACACCGGATGAGAAACTGGACATTAAAGGGGACAATTATGCAGCTCGCACGGCAAGTGGGCTGTTTGATTTTTAGAAATGTACTCGTGGCAAAGTTTCAGACTTTACTTCTGAAGCTGATAAAATCCCAGAACAATAAATAGAGATAAGGAAAGCAACAGCAGCCTCCCCTAAAAATATTTAATTATAAATGGTCAGGAAATTGTGTAAAATACCCATCATGAGCAACCTTCCCAACCATAATGTTTAGTTTTGGGAAGCCAAAACACATTTTTTGGCACAGTGACACACAAAGCATGCTTAATCAGTCCCAAAACTTGTTGGTGATTAGTTTACTGTTAATTTGTTGTGTCAGCTGTCAGCTCTACTTTGGCTCAATCATTAAAGGGAGTGGGTCATATTTATATTAACTGCTTTCAAGGACCTTTTCCCCCTTTAAAGTCATCAATAATCATTAACATCTTATAATTGATGGCTGGTAAAGTTTTAAGAATCAGCTTTGACTGCTTTTCAATTAAATACATTTTAAGTGTCTTCTTGGGGCTCTTGAGACTTTATTTAGACTTTATCTCATCTATATATTTTTTTTTACATTTGTTTGCATTTTTCACATAACTCACAACCAGAAAGTGCTTGACTTTGAGCACTGCTTAATTTTACAACAAAGGTTATTTGCTATAAAACAGTTATAATGCATGAATCCAGGTTACGTTAGTGTGTTAGTGTTAGTACTAAGCGTTACTGTGCAGTCCGTTATCATGCAAATGACGCGGGGCGCGCGGCCGATGTGTCATGCCCTTTTAAGAAAAATGAGAATCAGCGGGGAGTGACGTCTGCTGCGCGCACGGGCCCGAGGCAAACTGACACTTGCGGAGCGGCGAGGAGACAGCGAGCAAGATACGGTAAGTGCAGAAAGCCAAACTTTACTACGTGCTGAATGCGGTCGAATAATAAGTCATTTGCACGGGACTACGTAGCGCCGACGCTTGCGTGGCCATTAGCGAATTCATCATCACACGCCGTGTGTGTCTGTGTGTGTATGCGTGTGTGTTTTTTCGCCGGATAAAGGAGAGGAATTGCCCGCAAGTACATACCGGAGTGTGCACTCCCATTTTAGTCAAGGCCAGACGGAAGGGCAGGTAACGTTAGCTGTGGCTTTCCCGATAAAATACACTGCAGTGTGGCTTGATTTAGTGCTTGCCACGTCTGGTTTGGTCGGAAATAGTAAGCTAGGGTTGTTTGAGGTAGGTTTCTGACAGGGTGGTTGTGTTTTGATAGTGCGCAGAGGTCGGGAATGTGTCGGCTAGTTAGCTCGCTTGCTAACGAGCCGCAGCTAGCGGTTTGTGAAGTGTCGGCGGCCCGCAGCAGGCAGTTAAAGCTAGCTAGTTAGCGGCATTTTGCTAACAAGCTTGATAACGGGACTTAGGCTAGTTGCTGGTTTGAAACTAGACTACTTGCGGACACATGCCGGCCTCACTCGCGTGGATTATAGATTATGCCATTTTAAGGGTTTATCTGTAAGCGGGCTTATGATTTGACCAGAATTTGATTAATGTTGCTGGAGCTCATGTTGTAATAATCACACATCGACAGTGTTGTGCTGTGTGGTTTAGTCCGAGCCACAGATTGCAGGGACTTGGCATGACCTGAAGTGATAAGCATATGTCGCTGCCTTAAGCAAATTAGGTAGATTCACAGTGAGATAACCAAAGAGCTCAAATTACTTTCTCTTGTCTGACTCCAAGCTTCGTGACAGCCTATCGCATATTATTTCTGCTTCAGGGGGAGATATGTGAAGCAGGAAAGGTGTGTGCCCCATCCTTGAAACTGTAAACACACAGCAGGTCACTTTCCTAGTTAATCGGCCCTTTTTACAAAGAGGCTCACTGCCTCAAGGGTACTTTATTTCACTTTTTCTTTGTTGAAATTACACATTTCCCCGAACCTGACTTTAAAGATGCCATCTATGCCAATAACCCCTACCCTCCCTCTTAGTAAGCAAGCCAGCCTGCTGTCAGGATTCTTGAACAGGAACAGAGACTGGAAGAGGTTATTTTAGTAGGTAGCTACTCCTTTTCCATCCTATCAGCATGAAGCCTTTTTGCGCTTAGGAAAGAGGATGTGGTTACAGGTCAGGGCCCCAGTAACACAGATGCATTCAGCTGACAAGGCTTGTCAGTTACGGGTCTTTGTCATAATTAAGTCACAGAGTTTGTGTGCCTGGCTGCAGTTTTGCTCTGACTCATGGGGACATTTAAGGTTGTAGGAGATAAGGAAAAAAAGAGAGTTGCATAACTTGATTATTGGGTTATTTTATGTTATGTTAGTTCATGTTTTTGTAAGAAAAGAGAGATGGGCGAGTGCAGCTAAAAACTCTTTGACACCTGTCTTTATTTCTTGAATGAAGTTAGTTTAATTGATAACACAAAACTATTTCTTCAGAAAGTATTTTACTCTAGTTACCTGTGAAAACATGGAATTCCCCTTTATTGTAACTCTGGTGGTAAGCGTTTATTTTACAAGCTTGTAAATTCCTAATTTCCTAGCGAGGTTTGTAATTTGGCAGTAATTACAGGAAATTACAGACAAGTTTAAGTTGATACACTTCAAATTAATTAGTTACAATTAATTGCCAAGCTACTTATACAGCAGACTTGAAAATCTGTTACAGGTGAAATTTCATGTAAAGACAAACTTAGACCCAACTAAACTAAGATCAAAGGAATGTTTGTAGATATTTTTTGTCAGCAGCCTCTAAAGTTAGTACTGTTTTTTTTCTTATGTGTAGTGAACTGCGGTTTTTAGTCGAGGTAACACACGAGCAAGCACTTTTCAACACATAAAAACACTTATTAGCAGCAACTGTTGGAGCAACTGTTATCTCACCCTAAACCACAAATAGATCTTTTTTTCTTTTTTTTTTTTGACAGCGTAGCTCATCAACATGTAGTTTGTCAAGCAAGCGAAAACCCACAAGAGTTGGTATTGTGCTGCTAGCGTAACCAGCGGATGTGTGCATGTTCACCATCCGCACTGGGTGGAGGATACGGAGGGCAGCTGTCAGTCATCCCATCCTGCTGAGTCAGTTTGTGTGACAGCTTCGTTGCTGTGGGATTAATCTCAGTAGACCAGGAAATTGTGGATCCTGGGAGGTTGTACTTTAGCTGAACAGCCTCCTGTTCACTAAATTAAGTTTTGCAGTTTATCCAGACTTGCATTCGCTGCATGCTCTTGCTACCGGCGCCACCTAATCCAATTCCCAGCCTTAGATGGATACATACCTTTGGCTGTAGAGGGTGAGTGATGCAGTGATGTCATAGAGGAGCATGTTTTCTGTGGCATGTGGCCTTCTCCCGCTCCTTATTTGCTGGGGTTACTACGAAAGCAGATTAACAGCAGTGGTGTGTTTGTTTTCTTGGGAATGACAGTGTGTAGTTGAGGGCAGTGGAAAGAGACTGGTTTGGTTTTAAAAGCTGATGTCCTTAAATGGCCCTGTGTGTATGTTTGCGGGTATTGTGACTGTGTTTGCAGGCTTGTGCTGTGTGTAGTTTCTCTGATATCATGCAGGCAAGGTGTCAGAACGAGAGTATTCTTTTCACTCACTTTGGTTCCTTTTTGCAGAACAGGCTGCAGGTAGCTGCAAGTTCAACTCAAAAAGAAACAAAAATTGTGTTGTTGGCAAATTAAACATGAAGCAGAGTCTCTTTGAGCTGTAATCAATATGTTCATTTGGGGTGTGAAAGATGGCACCAAGTCCAGTGATTCTAGCATCAATTAAGACACTGTGAGCTAAGAAATTTGGTCTGTTTCTCAATACTGTATTAGTAGCAGTATTTACTTTTTTTAGTGGTTTATTGCTCTTCATTTGTATTTGAGCTTCCGCGTTAGTTCACCAGTACTTTGACTCGTTGTTTTCATACATAGACTGCCATATGAAAATTTGGGAAAGCAATCAGATCAGATTTGAGATTTAAGACCTTTTTATATTTATTTTGGCATAAGTGCAACAAAAAGACAACTACTGATGGTGCACGTGCATAAGTAGCAACACAACTGTAAAATTATTAAATAAAAAAAAATGTGGCACATACATTACTTTACACTAAGATTATTGATATGTTATTGACAGGCTGTGTTCATCAATGTCACGGGTAAAAGCTGTGTTTCAGCTTGTTTGTTTGTGCATGCATGGATGGTTGTGAAGCTCCTGCCTGAAGGTAGGAACTGAAACAAAAAACTATATCAGTGCTGCCAACAGTGCTAATTGGTGAGAAAGTGCCGGCTGGGTGACTGTCACCTATGTTTAGCAGCTGCAGTAGTTTGTCTGGTACTGTGTATTGAGAATCTCTGTGCGCTAGTCATAATGCTAAAGAAATGTGCTCCCAGTGACAGGTCATGTATATGGGGAACTACCACCAAAGTGGTTTTAGGTTCTTTGCCTGGTGTTCAGGACAGGATTTGTCAGTGTGACAGTATCACAACTGTACAAGAAATAGCCACAAAACGTAACAGGTGTGTACACGGTTTTCCCCTGGCTAGAAAAACGAGGCGTCTTTTATTTGTGGCCATTATTTCAAGATAGACTAAATTGAAATGTTGAAAAATAATTTTATCAGTATGGCATTGAATAATGGAGAAAACCTTTTGATGGGACACTGCAATATTGTATGCGTGGGGGAAACCCCTGGTCTGACTAAGATCAAAATGAAGGTTAGGTTTGACGGTTATGGTTTGACCTATATAATATTTAGTAAGAGAGGCCCATGAGGTTGCATTTCGTTCTCAGCTTTATGCCTCTGTTCTGTATTATTTTTATTAATTTGAATTTTTTAGAAGTTGGGTGTGGTCTCAGTACTTATTGGCAGTTCATAAGTACTGCCAATAAGTACTGAGATACTTTTATTTCTTTTATTTACTTTTATTTCCAGCACATGATGGCCTGTGACTTTTTTTCTTTTTAAATATATATTTGTTTATATGCTGTGGTAAGCACCCATAATTGTAATAAGGGAAACCATACCCTGTCAGATTTGCTTACAGTTAGGTAGGTGATTACAAAACCCCTTTAAATGTCAGTAACATTAAACTTAACTTCTTTCCAGTATCAGAGACACGGTAAAAAACCCTGAAACACAGAGTGTAGAGCTTAATTTCCATTTTGTTCTGAAAATAGCATCACGTTTGTGTGAAAAAGAGGATATGAGATTGGCACTAATGCTAAACTAGTCCAGTAAATGAAAAGATTATTTTTAACTTGCTGAACAGCAAACTCTTAGAGGAAACAAAATTTTGGCGACATCTCCATCTCTTGTGAAATGAGGAATCTCTCTGCTAACGTCAGAAGTAATTCTTACAGTGCTGAAAACTCCAGATGTACATGACAGATTTGGAGTCTTTTTTTTGTGCTTTTACTTTCTAATTTGAATTTTGTCTCAACCAGCAGTCCTTGTTCTGCTGTGCAGCCTTGGAGTTCTTGGTGTAGTGGCTCTTGGTCCTGTTGTCCCCCTTCTTGTTAGGGGTCCCTCCAGCTTACAGCACCTCTAAAGAGCAGAAAAAGGACTGCTGTCACTAGCTGCAATTCATAAAGGCAGAGTTGGAGTTTTTTGGAGTTTCTGATTGTGGAAAGAGCTTCTCTTTGGAAAGGCAGATGAATGATATTGAACATCAACGTGTTTACTGAGCCAGGCATTAGTGAGACTTGAGACAAGAAGGGCCAAGGCTGGCTAGTTACTAGTAACTGATCCTTCGAAATAAGTCCGGACTGGCTCTTATTCTGGTTTATCTTTTTTTTTGAGGGCGATCCACACAGACCTAGTTTGGTTGTCATATTTGGCTTTGCACACTTCTTTTTTTGTACAGTAGTTAATCTGCCTGGTAGTTTGTGCTGCTTTCTTTCCTATTGTCGTCCTAATTTTTGTTGGCAGACAGTTTGTAGGTACATTCCTCCCAACATTTTCGTATCCTACCCGGTGCTGATAATAACATGTTAAATATCCTTGCTAGGCAGCCTGTTCAAATAAAGAAAACTGTCTTTTTAAACCTTTCTACGCCTTTTTAAAAACATGTAGTTACTTTATTGGTTGAGGAATGGACCCTTAGAAACAATTGCTTCATATGCACAGGCTGCAAACTGAGGTTTGAAATAGTAAAGATGGGAGCTGGAATTTGACTGCACTTTTTTGGAGGAACACTCATCCTCCATAATGACCTTTGAAGCTGGCACATAATAATCTGACTGCCTCTGTCACAGTGCGAGCCTCTGACGTCATCCGTCTTAGCAAGGGTCAGTCCACAGCATTCACAGTGGGATTGTGACGTGCACATAGCTGACAAGTGAAGTGTAGCCTAAATCTAAGTGTGACATTGTCTGTACCACATTGTATATGTGACACACTGCATGCACTTGACTTTGTGCTTGAGTGTTTACATGAGCGTACAGGGGCGCGCGTTTGGATAGCACTCGTGCATCCCTGTTCTTTTTCTTCACCGCCCATTGGCTCCCCTCCCTTAATCACGCAAGGAGAACTTCTCTTTGAGTGCAGAGGATTAGAGAATATGAATTATGCACACTCTGGCCTTCATGTCCCACATGGTCCCTGCTTGTGATTGAAGCTGGAGGTCCTTCGTCCTTTGACCACTCCCCCTGAGAGTTTCTTTAGCGTGTGCTATTTAAAAAAAGCAGTGCAGAAGAGGATCATCTGCTTCCAGAGTAGCTGATGATTGGGCTTTTGATGTTTGCAAAAGAGTTGATGATTAATCGAGGCTATACAGTTGTCCTTGGGACCTAATTTCAGCATGCGCTACTATCTGAGTTTTATTTATTTTTTTCGTTACAGCCTTGATATCAACAAGCGGCACTTTTTAGCCCTTGATCCAAAAGCGCTTGGTTCATTAAAACACAAGCTGGCAGTCAGCTGCCGTGTCTTTAAAGAAAACCGATATTAAAACGTTTTAGTGTTCTCTAAATACATCCCTACCACATTTTGTGGTTGTATCAGTAATTTAGAAAATTGTTTATATTTCAAGTTGAATGTCTTTTTTTGACTGCAGCTTTGACAATTACTGGAAAATCTCCTCCTATTTAAAATATTGTTTTTTCTAAACCAGCTTTGTTAATGGGGGTTTAATTTCCTCAACTATAATAGACATGTTTGTGTATAAAATGTTGAGAAGTAACAAAGATTTCAGCCAAATAAGGAACCAGACTTATTGCTTTTAAAGTACACAGAGTTTATTCTTATTGCTGTGCGTAGACACTCATCACAGGCTTGTTCTGAGGCAGGAAAAACCCTGAGATACTGCTTGATATGAAGTTAGATCAGTAGATAAGGAATCAGAAATCCCCACATTGCTTAGCTACATCTAAACCCCTTCTGAGTCTGTAGCCCAGCTTGTAGTGACCCAGTTGGCTACCCAATCTGACTTTACGCCACAGTGTGTGCCAGTGATTCGTAACCTCCTTGTTTCTTAAAGGGATATTTTTACTTCACAATTTCCTTCCATCACATTTTCCACTTCCCTCAGCTGTTTTCTGTCATAAGCGAAGGAGACCGCCACCATATTGCTGTTTTATAAAACCAAAAATTGACTCAGTGACTAACAAATCTGTAAGCAGGGTGTGTTTTGGTGTGTGAAAGCCAAATGATTGTGTCATTATGAGGAATATCTGCCAAATCAATGTATCATCTCCTCTCTCCTTCAGTTCCCCCCACACATACACATCACAGCTGGTTTTTGTTAGAGAGGGGTCACATACTCTTCACCTCCTCCACCCTGAAGCAGCTCCACTTATGGGTGTTCCCTCCATTGTTGTCCTGCTTCTCCTCTATATCCTCCAGGAATGACTAGAATCCTTTCTTTCTGGAGTGGGAAAAACTCAAAGACCAGACAGGAAAAAAAATCGCTTTGATTTGCCTGAAAAGAGATTTATTTTTTGCTTTTTCCCCACTGTTTTTTCACACCTTTGCTCATTTTGTTTGTCCAATTTTTACTTTTCCCTGTTTGTCCAGTGCAGACTGTTGGGCTGTCCAGTGAAGCAATCCCGCCATGCGTGAATACAAGCTAGTGGTGTTAGGCTCTGGAGGTGTGGGCAAGTCTGCTTTGGTGAGTATGGCCTTCCAAACCTCTTCCTGCGTCTCCTGCCTCTATTACTCCTGCCATGTGTTCCCTAAAGACTTTGTAGATAATTGTCAATAAAACAGCAAGAGGCTTTGCTAGCTTTTGAAGGAAAGCATGCGGTAAAACATTTTTAATTATGGAGGTTTATAGAGCACAGATGAAACTGTCTTTTGACTGTTTTAATTTTCCTAAAGGATTTATTGAGAACATGCTTGTTTGCTGACAAGGGTTTAATCTATCTCCAAGGCCTGTGTTATTGAAACTAGCTGCCTGTATACATATAATACATATAATGGTTTTATTGTTAGGGTTTTTGAAACGTTCAAACTCTGCCAGTCCTAAGCTCATCTGTGTTTATATGTATAGACATCGTAATCTGGTTTTTTACTTTTCTTAAGGTTGATAGAGAACAGAACCAGAGCAGTGATGTATTTTAATGTCAGGAGACCTCAGATGCCTGTGAAATGTGTCGTATGCTTTGCTCAGCTAATTTCAACCAGGTGTCAGATTAATCCCTCAAACGGGCAGGATTAAGATGTTATCAGGTGAACTTGGTCTACCCCACTAATGTAAATCTGCCGCTCAGCACAGCGCTTTTAACACAACCCAAAATTGGACATTGCTGTTTACTTGGAGAGTGACACATTTATCATAATTTAGGCTCTATGTACCATATGAGATTTGAAATAAAGCAACTGATATGCTGATTGAAGATCAGAAACATTGGCATTATAACCATTTTTATGCACAGGCCTAACATGTACTTGGAAAAACTAATATAATTATATATAAAACGTTCATTTTTAATACTGCCCAAGTCTGGAAGCCATGCACATCACCACAGATGGCTTTTCTTCTTTGTGATGCTTTGCCAGGCCTTTGGTGCAGCTGACTGTAGTTGTTTGTTTGTGGGGCTTTCTGCCTTTAGTTTTGTCTTCATGTAAATTCCTTTCTTGATTGAGATCAGCTGATTACCTTGACCATTGGAGAATATTTCTGTTTCTTTTTGTTTTGTTTTTTCAACCTCCAAAACTTCTGGGTTGGGTTTGCAGTGTGGTTAAGATTTCTGGCCATCTATACTCTGAAACACTGGCCTGTCAATGATCTGAGCTAACAGTATATTCCTATATGCTTCAGAGTTAGCTGCCTCTGTCTTTTGTCACATCACTGGTAAATGGTGAGTGCTATTGGAAGCTACACATCCTAATGCAGTCCTACTGACATCTGCATGTTTTTGCAGATGGAGATGTGTGCCTCATTCCAAGCCTTCTCCATATTTATTTCTTCACATTATTCTCTTACTGAATGATTCATTTCATTGGTCTAAAAAATGCTGTTTCCACACTGAACTGGCACCTCTGCATTTCTAGGTCTAATCTGGCCTAAACTACTGGATACTATATTCAACATTTTTGAGGCTAAATTGTTTTTACCTTGTGGCGAACCCTCTGTTTGCTGTCTTGAAGTCTTTTCATTGTGGTAGACTTGGATAATAGACATCTAGAAGAGTTTTAGTACATCCAGCCAAGTGAAGAAAGGGATTATTGTTTACCATGAAAAGGATCCTGTCATCCACTATTGTTTTATGTGAATGTGCAGGCCGTTTTTTTTTTTGTTTTTTTTGTAAAATTCAAGTAGCAAAGTGTTGATTTGGACACTCTATTTTTTTTTTTTTTGCGCCACTCAATTTTGCTTGCATTGAAAACTCTTAACTCTCTGCATCTTCTGGGTTCACAGCATTGGTAAACAAGTGCAAATCCTAAACTCGGGATCAGCCCTTGTACTTTCTACATTTTACTATTCTAACTTTAATATTTTTTGATAAATAAAAAAGGTCAGAGTTCAAACACATGCAGATTTAGAAGTGTGCCAGTAGAATAATTATGTTGTGCTTTTGGTCACATCCTCGTTCCTGTCTAGTTGTGATGATCATAGGTGGACAAAGCGTTAGACGATATGGCACTTTTGCTGCATGTGCTACTCCAGCAGTTTGATGTTGGCTTTCTGTGTGTCTCCCCTTACAGACAGTTCAGTTTGTACAAGGAATCTTTGTGGAAAAATATGACCCTACAATAGAAGACTCATACAGAAAGGTGAGTGTCCCGTGAGAGGCAGAGTGCTGGCTTGAAATGAGCTGATTGTTACCAGCTGCTCCTCAGGTTCACATATTATTGTGCTCCGAAATTTTCTCATTCAACTGCTTCTACTCTGTTACCCTCTCATTCCTAGTTTTCATTCTTTATATTTTCTTGTGACTTCATACTACTGGTGTGGTTGCTTTCATGTTTCCCCCTCAGTGTTAGCTGTCTCTTTCAGTCTTCAGTGTATGACCTATAAATATAACCTATGAATTTTGTTTGCTCAGTGACCTGAAATTAAAGATGCTCTTACATGTGTTTTCTTACAGCAAGTGGAGGTAGATGGACAGCAATGTATGCTTGAAATTCTTGACACAGCCGGCACAGTAAGTAAACTCACTGCCACTGAAATCTTCAAATGCTCAGCTTTGCTGGGCATATGCACTCCTGAATATATATTTTAGTAAATCTAGAGGCGTTTCAGATTGGAGAATCTGTTAGGTAGTGTTTGGTAATTTGGCCTCTAGGGAAAACAGCCTTATTTATTTATTTATTTATTTATTTAAAGCTAAATTGTAGTCAGAAAGCAGTCGATTCTCTCTGCACACACTGTTTACCTGCATTCGTCCGTGACCTGCTCAGATGCTATTAGTCAATGCTACTCTGGCTCAATCTGGAGGAAAAGAAACAGACTCCTGGCACCAGAAATCTTTTTCCTCGCCTGCAGTTTTTACATATTCATAAATGATATTTGATACAAGATGTGACGGTCTGCCACACTGTGAAACATTAAAACAAGTTGTATTTCACAGATACGTTGGGCAATGAGATCTTTAGTAGCTGAAATGACATCCAGTTATGAGCTGACACTGTGATGCCTTTTTATGCTGTATTTATGATTGTTTTAGAGTATTTTGTACACCAGTCTAACATTAGTCTTATTCTGCCCCCCCCACTGGTGTCCTCGTGCAAGAAAATTTCTGAAACATTTGTCTGTGTGGGAACTGGCGACTGAGAAACACATCATCTCTTATCCTAGAGATGTGCAGAAACTGTTTTAAGTGTGCGTTTGTCGGTAACAGACCCACGTTGCATTGCACTGTGTGTGTCTTTGCTGAAAAACCTGACAGACATCCAAGAATTGTAATCCTGCACAATACTGTTTCTTTATCCACTGGGATTTCAACCAATCCACTGTGATTATTCAGTTGATAATAAAATGGTGTTCAGTTTCATCGACGTACACTGGCCTGAAATTGCTTATTTTCTTTTTTTTTTCCTGTTTTAATTCTGACAAATGGACCAGTCAAAACAAAAGGGACAAACTAGAGCCAACACATCTATGCTTGACAAATGATTTAATGATTATTTAGACTTAACCATCCAGTAAAGTTTGTCACAGATATGCAATGTAATCGTCAAACTGGTGCAGCGAACAAAAGAGTAAAAAAAGAAAAAACAATAAGTAAAAGTTGGAAGCTGTATGACAGCGCTCATAGCCTCTCCATCTTTTCCCCCCTTGTGTAGGAACAGTTCACAGCTATGAGGGACTTGTACATGAAGAATGGCCAAGGCTTTGCCCTGGTATACTCCATCACAGCACAGTCCACCTTCAACGACCTCCAAGACCTGAGAGAACAGATTCTACGAGTAAAGGACACAGAGGATGTAAGTATACTGTATACTGGCATAAGCGTACAAGCGTTTTATAATTTTATCAGTTTGTTGCTAAACTTTTCTTTAATCACGTAGGCTGTAGAAAGCAGAGTAGTGGCAACGAGTACAGTTAGACCTAAACGCCCTGTGTCCGTGGGCTCGGCCGCCTACATTTTTCAGGGGCCTGATCAGACTGTTGCTATAGATACCATTCAACACTATAATCACTCTGTGTTATGCAATTAATTGCAGATTTGTATTATCTGAACATAACACAATGAGTGTCACGGTGTTATGTTTATAGAGTATAAACAGTGGCAAACTTGTGTACTCTGCATAACTGAGCACTGATTAATATTAACGTTGCGTGTGTGTGTGTGTATGTCCCTGCGGTTTCATCAGTGTTTGTTGTAGACACAGAGCACTCGTGCTCACTAGGTTGAGGAGAAAAGTAGGGGAATATCTTGGATGTTAAACCCTTAGTCTTGTGGGGATTTTTCTGTATAGTGTGTGGTTTTCTCCATCAGGCCTGCCTCACATCGACGCTGCAAATAAAAGCATGTGTCATCTCCTTATTTTCCAAGCTTGTTGTTTGTCACCAGCACATTTCCAGTTTTCTATATATCTGCTAAATTGTGGAACTGCTGGAGCAAGTAAGCCCTCTATCCCCTCTCTGGTCGAGTCGATAGTGCGTCAGCAGGATCTAAGATGCCCTTTTTTGGTGATCTCTTGAGGGAATGAATGTTACCATAACCCACCCTCTTGGTTTTGCTTCCTTATGTCTCTCTGTTCCCTGTCAGCCATCTGCAAAGCCTCTCTCTAGCCTGGAGCAGAATACCTCTCTTTTCTCTTTTTCTTGCTCCTCTTACTCTATATTTGTGCAATTATTGTGCTGCTTTTATTTGAACTGGCCTTTTCAGCTTCTGTTGCATTCTTTCCCCCTCTCTGTTTGACGGCCAGCCTCGTGGTGTTGATGTGGTCTGGCACTCTATGTGGGTGATTGGACTGTCAGGCATGAAGTGCAAGGAGAGCCTCAGCTCATCAAAAACTGGGTTATGAGACTGTGGTTCTTCATTAGGCTCTCCATGGTTTGGGAGCTGAGGTTAGCCTCAGGCTAACAGATGGATTGCAGGACCAGTGGCTTCTCGACACGCAAGGAAATAGTTGATGTTTCTTTTCTTCTGGAAATCTGTTCCCTTTGACAACATCTTTCAGTTTAAACAGTTCAGCTTATCTGGCTATTATGGCCACTCTGCCAGCTATCAGTCCACTGGTCATTTGTGCCCTTACCTTCGATAGCCGTGATATCTGTTTATCCTTTTTTGCCCCTTGCAAGAATGAACCAAAGGAAATGCTGGGCATGTTTCCCCCTTTTCTTCCAAGAAGGCAGATTTCTTAGTTTGAGAAATCTTTCAAGTGACTGCAGAGCTAAAGCAGAAACCGTTGATGCTGCTACAGCTGTTCTTGTTCTCAGCTCTGACATGCACCATTTACTGCAAAGCGGGTATAATGTACAGATGCACCTAATATCACCAGGCTCAATTAAAAGGGCTTTTAATGGTTGTACATTCATTGAACACAGTAGGGTCAAATTCCATCTCTTTAGAAGAGCCATTAGTGGCAAAAATAAAGTAAGTGAGCAGACACTAGTGAATTAAAAGCTCACTTCCTTCATTTCCTTTCACGCTTCTTATGTAAGAGAGGTCTTATGACTTCTCCGGGCCACCTCAGTCTCTCTTCCCGTGTGACTAGGATGGTAGTAATGCCTGACTCCAATGCTTGTGACTCACTGCTCCATTTTAAAGAACTAACTTCATTCATTTTTGTCGTTTTGTACCTGCCTGTTCACTGTTACCCACAATCCAATCTTCGGCGTGCCATTGTGGGCGGGATACGACCTGTCTGTAGCATGTTAATACAGTCTGAACAGATTCTCTGTGGCTTGTGTGGATTCTTCACGTAGGCTAATGCTGCCTTGTGTTCTGCTGACGCTGAACATTTTTTTTCCTTTTTCCCTGCATACCTCCATTCTTTCAGCCATCTCACCATTCTTTTTATCCCAGCTTGACTCAAGAGTTTATGTTAGGAGGGCATACCACTGGTTCTCCCGGGACCCGTGGGAGAAGTGTCATTCAGCAGTTCAGCTTGAGGATTTGTTTAGATATCAAACATCAACCACCAACCTCTGTGGGGTTAATCTAAACATCTCAGTTTCCTGTCGTCTGCCCCATAGAAAGGGCACAAAATACTCACCCTATATCTTACTTTGTCTCAAGAAGCCTGACGGTAGTGCTCCAACAGCAACCTCTGAAAAGAAGACTTACTGGGGGGGAGTATGGACAAGTGAGCACATGTCAGGATACTGGTATTTTTCTTAAAAATATGTAGATTTTCCACATCCACAAGACATGTCTGGGGGGCATTTGTAGGTCCTCAGAAGAGAGTGAAGGCAGGATTTCCCATGCATAAATTTATTTAGCGCCACAAATAGACTTCCCTGGCCGATATATTATTGGCGCCTCTTTTGTTGCATGCAGAATTTTTCCATCAGTTGATTCCTAAGCTGTATCAAAAACACAGATATCCCGTGAACGAACCCTGTGACAACATCTTAAAGTCTTCCTCACATCTGAGACGTTTTCTAACATCATACAGTTTTACAGTGATTAGTTTATTAAGCCAAGTTTCAATGTGGAAATGCAGCCCAGGCTGAATGAACACATCCACACACAGACTCTCTGTGTCATATAATTCCAGAGAGCAGCTGGAGCATGGAATCCAGCTGAAACATTTGAAAATATTCAGGAAGGAAAGCGATGTTATCCCGGCTGGGCGGGGCTGTCATAACTTCCTCCGGGCCAGCATTCTCCCTAGATAGCCGGGCAGGAAACAGCAGGCAGGATGAGACGCATCCCGACACCCTGACTGCCCAGCTCTGCCTACTTTGACAGTTGAGGCTGAAGTTTTGCCCAGAATACTCTGTCCTCCTCAGGCTTTCTTTTTTCTGTTTTCTTTTCTTTTTGAGGGGACCTTTGGTTATTAAAACATTTGAGAGAACAAAAGAAGCAGCATTGCTGGTTTTAGGAGGTTCCAAAACCGGCTGCACTTAATCTCAGTGACTGTCCCCTCAGCTTTGCTTTTAATTTATTTCCCTTTTAAAGAAACAAAAGTTAAAAATAAACCACCTTCCTCGTCAGTTCCTATTGATTCTTTAATCTCTCTGGACACAGTTGTGTAACCTAAATGATTTTCTTTACTTTCCCACCGGGAAGGAGATCGTTTTTTTATTGATCATCTTTGTGACCCTCCAATTCAGGCCTGAGAGAAAAGCACACTCATTGACTGTTAATACTCATCTCTTCAGTCTTTTACTTGGGTTGTACATTTGTTTGCAGATATTGCTTTTTCACTACCTTTCACTCCAACAAGAGATTTAACCCCTTTGTTTATATGTGTGTGGCTGGTGTGTTCAATAAAAAAGCCTGGGCCTTTATACTGTTACTGTTCCCTGAGGTAGAGTTAAAGGGTGACAAATGGATTAAAACAATCTTGGTAATGTTTTTCTAACATTCCCAGCTGCACCTCCAAAGAAGGGTCCTTGTTCACTGCAAGATGGCATTTAAAGATTTATGATTAAGTTTACAAAAAGTAGAGTACAGCATTTAAAGTCTAAAAGAAAAGTTACTGAAGCCTTTTTAATGCAAACGTGTTTATAGGAAACACGTTTGCTTTTCTCCTATATCTAATTTCCTCTCTATAGGGGGAAAAATGGCAAAAAGGTATGAACGAAGAAGTTATACAAAGTCAAAAGTAAAAGGAAGGTTCTTCTCTTGTATCCTTGATACTTGATACTTGTATCCTGTATACTTCTAATTTATCTGTGTTGGATGTGAACCTGGACTATAGCTTCAGCTGTGAATAATACAAATTGTAGGATTTATATTAAATCCTAAAACAGCCTGCTGACATACAGAGTGGAGTCTAGGTTGTAAGGACAAATGGATTTAGAGGAATCTGAACAGTTTTTGTGAATAAAATGTTAAGTTTTACATTAAAAGAAATGTTAAAAATGCACGAACAAGGAATATGTGACCAGACAATGGGGGATAAATCATGTGGGCACAAACAGAACCTGCTTGCTCTTACCTGTCCTCAGGTGCCGATGATCCTTGTAGGGAACAAGTGCGACCTGGAGGATGAACGTGTGGTGGGGAAGGAGCAGGGCCAGAACCTGGCCAGACAGTGGAACCACTGTGCCTTTTTAGAGTCCTCTGCTAAGTCAAAGATCAACGTCCTTGATGTGAGTACAAACGTCTCCTCCAAAAATGCAACTCTATATATTTTTCAGTTTGTTTTCCATCTCAGTCACAGTTGGATGTGTGTACAGCAATCATCAGTAGAATTGTATTTATTTAAGACACATAATTAAGGTTTCTCTGACATGTAGGTAATAATGAGCTCAGATGGATTATACTTCATTCTCTGGGCTACATCCTGTTAAACCTTCTGTCTGCAAACTGTCACACAAATCCATTTAGTGACGAGGCTATGTGTGGGTACTAAAAAGTAAAAGGTTTAGCGCTTTATTAACATTTTATCTGTGCTGTCTCTCTCTCTCTTAGATCTTCTATGACTTGGTCAGACAGATAAATAGGAAAACGCCAGTGGAAAAGAAGAAGGCAAAAAAGAAATCCAACTGTGTCCTGCTTTAAAGACCTTTCTCCCTTCAGCCCCTGCAGCAGCTCTGAGCCAGGTGTGTGTCTACAGTTTCAAAACACATTAGTCTTAAATACCCATGCAGCCAGCATCTTCACAACTTCATGATTCATAGACAAGCTGTCAGATTAATTGTTATGTAATGGCTTTGATCTTCCTGCTGTCTCCGACGGCACTGCATACATCAGTTGTCGTTTTAGTCATGTGGGTTTGTTTGCGAGCGGTTAAGTCGAAACAACTTTAATTTTATAGTCTAAATAAACTGTTCACAGTGGTTATTGTACCTGTAGAAACTCAAAACATGCAGTTTAGAGATGGCGCCCCCCCTCCAGGTAGCTGGAGGTATAACCGAGGGTTCAAGTAGAGACAATAGATTACACAATTATAGTGTGTGTATTAGCAAGCAACATGAGGTAATGCCTGACCTGGCTCCCTGTGATTCATTTAACTGGTTACAAGAGAGGTTCTTGGTTTCAAACGGTCTAAAGAGGAACTTTTCAACCTGACAGCAGATACACAACACTGATCTGTCATTAGCTCTCTTACAGTCTACAAACAACTTCACTCGTCATTCATACTGATGACGCATAGGCCCCGTGAATGTCTAGAAATGAAAGCATCCTTGATTTACCCTTCAGACCTGTGAAATGCTTTTTAAATCTTCATTCCTGTTATATGAATGAGTCAGTCTGCGATAACTGGAGATAAATTTCAGACCTCAGCAAGCTGCAGCAGCTCGTTACGTCTGGGAAATCCTGATCTGTCAGCATGTTGTTTCCCCAGACGAAGAGCTGCTGCTTTTGAAATCTTTTTCACAAGATTTTCAAAAAAAAACATGTTGAGTGGTGTTATGACCCGTCTAGAGCCAGGCAATAACATGAGTGAGGCACCTGCTCCCCCCCCCCAAAGACCCAAGCAGCCACAGGAAACAAATCCGTTCTTTATAATGTGATTTATTTATAAAGTGGTGAAGAGGGACAACAAAACGGGAGTGTCAACACTTCAAGGTGAGCCGAGGCCAAAAACAAAAACAAATCTACACAAATCCTGCACCCCTGACCTTACCAAAACAAAGTCAAAAACAAAGATGGAGTCTGACCTCCTTAACTAATTCAAAACAGGAGAAAACTAGTGATCAAAAGAAACGGCAGCTCAACCCTACCCACTCCACTTCCACAACTTTCAAAACAGCACTGCAGCCAGCAGCTGCCACAGGTATACTGCTGGGTCATGAGGAGAAACGCGAGGACCTCCAGCCTCCTTTTAACAGTGGTAATGAGGAAGTCTGAAAACTGTCACGCTAAGTGCTTATTTCTGTGAATCCTTCCAAACAGACAATCTTGTCTTAATTTTAGAACGAGTGCAGACAATAATTAAAGTCAATTCGTCAAAGTCTGGACTGCAACATGAGAGCAGATTGGAGCTGCAAAGCATTTTCTGTAAACACGAATGACATGTTTCCTTGTTTCTTCTACAGTTGTATAAATCTTATATGAGATTTTAATAGATGGCCAGCACATTGAGTAAGCTGTTAGCTACTTGCTTTTGCTTCATCGTTATTCAGAATCTGCAAAAACTACTAATAAAGTAAAACTACGGTCAGAGAGCAGCCATCCTTTTTGTCATATTGCAGGCATACATCTTCAGTAACCTAAAATAAGTCATAATTTTCATTATGTCCTGATGGAACTGAGCCCATTTAACCCACCTCACACCAGTTTCAAAAGTTTCCACTACATATGTAGAACGTTTCCTTCAGGTGAAACTCAATCTATTCAGTTGAGGAAATCTTGTAAGAACTTAGGATGTGCAGCCACCCTCACATGGAGATTACTGATGGGCCTCATTGTTTCCAAACTTTGAAGGTAGTGAAGCGTAAACTGTTCAGAATGCTTCAAACAAACTAGTTTGCACGATGTGTCATTTGACCTTCTGTCAAAGGCTAAACCTGTTTGCTGAAGTAGCTGTGTGAAAGGTTGAATCTGGATCAGACGCTGTGCAAAGGAGATGTAACTGTTAGCTTTTGTGAATTTGCAAATGATGTAACACTTTGCATGAGCTGTTTGGTCTGTGTTTGCCGACAGCACAGGAGCCTATTTTTGAAGCAGTAAATGCCCAAATGTTGGCCAGCGTTTGGTTTGGGCTCGGGGACTAAATCTGCTGGTGATCTAAGGGCTGCAGGATGGAACATGAGTGGGTTTTAGGACTAAAGCCTGGGTCTCAGTGAAGCTGATGTGTCCTTGAGCAGGACTCTGACCCTTAACAAGTAGACAAATAAGTTCTTCACAGTCGGTCAATACATTTCCCTGTCAGTAATAAAGTGGCATTGCATTTCCACAATAATAAACAGCTGACTTTAATATAATGTCCAAACATGAACTACTTCTCCCGAGTCTGCTTTAATGTTTCCAGATCAGTAATTGGCTATTGTTTTTTTTATAAGTATACTGAACCCACAAATAAGGAGTATACATCCATAAAGCCTACAGATAAATAATAAAGGACTGACAAGCCTATGGGATGTTTTGCCATAAGGATTGGAGCAAAAAACGAATCTAATTGTGAGCAAGAATAAAAAGCTTAAACAGCTTATTTGCTGTTAATTGGTGAATGATATTGTGAAAACAATCAAATGTCATTAAAAGAGCAAAATGGAGCTCATATGGCCTCTTTGTTGTTTGAAATTAAAAAGGTGTAGCTGAACAAGCGACAGTTTGCACAACTTTTTTTTTTTCTTCCTCCCTCCAGTGTTTTGGTTAGAGTGCAGTCGCTTTTAAAAGCTCTTACAATCTGTTAGCTGGTATTTTGGGCTCTGTTGTCAGAACAAAACCCCAGTGTTGCCAGACCTGACAGGTTCACACAGCCAACAGAGAGATCTTACGTCTTCAGTTACTTTTAACTTCCAGGGTGGAGAAATAAAACTTTGATTTCGAAGATAAAACTGGATTAGTGAAACAGACAGTGCCATTGTAGCCAGCCCAGACAGCAGGGTCGCTGAACCACCCACTGCGTTCCTCGTCTGAACCCATCTGTGTTGGTCAGTTAGAGCTCCAGTGTGTGAGAGCGGGGGCCTCTGTTAGCATGCCCCAGGGTGGCGTCAGCACTCCCAGCACCCCCCACCTCCACCCTACCCGACTCTCACGCCGGCCAGCCCAATGAACCAGCACTAACGGGATTTCAACCTTGCTGTTCCACTGCTCACAGCCCACCAGCTCATACGCTGCGAGAGGGAGAGAGGGGATACAGTGCCAGCCACAGACAGGACGCAGAGAGTTAATGGGACATGTCAGTTTGTGGCTTCCAGCATGTTGACCTGATGAGCTCATGAACTTTGAGTCTCTGGTTTTATCTGTCACTGTATTCACTGGGAGAGGGATATATTTAGGGAGCTGTTAGCTTGCATGGCCCTAGATTCCAAACACCTTAATGAAATAAAGCTATCATTAATATTCTTGAAGGAGCTCTACTATGTGTCTGAAGAGGTCTATTAATGAATACTTCACCAGAAACCGAGCAACAACATATGGAAGTTATGAAAGCTAACTGTAAGACTAATAAGAAAAACAAGATTTGCTGTAGCCAGAATGTGATTATAGCAACATGAGTAGACCGCATGAACACTTGAAATAAGAATGGTTACTGCAGGGCATCTGTTATTGCGCTCATTACCAACTTATTGTCACTGCCTCTCTGAAAGGTAGCTTGGCCTGCAAATGAATCACGAGCCTGCTAGTTGCACTTGTAGCATCATGCATATACTCCTATTATGTTATTTGTGCTCTGTTCTCATTTTGCTGTTTGTGAGTTGAACACCAGCGGCTCTCAGTGTTCGCCCAGACAGACGTTCATTTAATTGCAGCAGCTACACTAAGCACAGGGTGAGCATGAGCTAAGAGCTCAGACTGTTAATGGAAAGATGGCACCTGAGCAGTGTTTAAACATCCCAAGCAGAAACTCGGCAGACCTCATCACATGACTTTTGGCACACGGACTGATTGAAGTTTTGCTCAGCTGAGAGAAGCCACAAAATGCTGATCGCTCGGCTTCCTAAAGCCTTTGGCACTGAAAGTGCCTCTGAGGAACAGTGCAGGAGTACTTCTCTGTGCTCCCCGTTGGACTGCTGGCTTTACTCTCTGCTCTGAGGTGTGATTTTTTTCCCCCTGAGGCTTTGTGTTAGACATTTGATCTCTTTTCCAAGGTCTGGTTAAGATGCAAGAAAAGTGCTAAGAAGTTTAAGAATGAAAAACTTTGTATTAAGGGTCCAAAAAGCAAGTTATAAGTTTTTTAAATTTTATTTTTAAGCCTTAAAATCCCAGGTTTATACACATCATTCTTGTTATCATTAATGCTTTTACTTTAAAGTGGTATAATATATGCTATATGCCCGTGTATTTTTTTTCTAATGAAATTGCAACACTTGCAATGCCGTTCAGCAGCCATTAGAGGGCACTGCCGCCTTAATTTTCTTTCCGAGGGTGGTTTGAGTTGGCTATGGAAGGACTGACAGTGTGCTGTCTTGCAGAAATGCTGTAATGAAGAACTGTTGCCCTGATTGGAACGTGCCAGCATTCCAACAGCCCCGACCCCACCCTTCCTCCATCAGCCATAAACGGTGAATCAGCTGACTGAACTGCTCCTATCAAAGATGAGGATGATCTACACCAGAGAGAATGAAAAGAGAAAGACAGTAAGAGAGAGAAGACTCTGGTCTCTCGCCTCCGAGGACCTTCCTCTGTCTCAGTTTGAGTGTGAACGCTGAACGGGAAGCGTCCACCTCTGCACCAACAACAGCACCACAAACTGACGATGTTCTGATTAAAATGCAGCAAAGCCTCTGAAAGTTAAAAAAAAAAAAAAAAGTCCACGAGCTGCCTACATGGCCAGCCCCTTATTTTTATTTTTTGACAGCTTAACATAAAGAAATAACAGCATTTAAGAAGGAAAACAAAGTTAGAACTTGGATTCAGTATTTTTCATCTTTTTCAATATTGTATTTGAAAGACATGGAAG